GCTGAGTGGGGGGAAAAAATCAGTATCAAAAGGTCATATACTGTATGTTTCTGTTTATACGACCTGTCAAAAGCATAGAGTTGGAGAATACATTAATGATTGGCAGGGGTTAGAGGTGGTGGGCGGAGGGGCTGGATGTGATTGTGAAGCAGTAGTCCGAGGAAGATCTTCGTGGTGATAGAAGAGTTTTCTCTCTTATTTTGGTGCTGGTTAGAGCAATCTACACTTGGGATAAAACGACACAGACCTACACACACTCATTGTACCACTGTCAACTCGTGATTTTATATTGTGCTATAGTTAAGTAAGGTGTAATCAATGGGAGAAACCAGGTGAAGGATACATGGGACCTCTCTGTACTATATGGGCAATTTCCTGTGTGGTGTAATTACTTTTTGAATACAAGAAAAAAAAAGTCCTGTTTTGCCATGGCTAGCTGCGGCCCGCATTATTTCATAGGAAGAGAAACCGTGACTATGGAAAACTCCAATACTCAATGTTACACGTAAGCATGACTTAGGGCACGAGAAAGGGGGGGGGCGCAGAAAATGGGAAGCCCGGGAGGAGGTTCCCTCGCCGTGAGGATGCGGAGGCGGCGGCCACGCCACTGAAGCGGGGAGTGAGTGGAGCGCTGCCGAGCTCCAGCCCCACCCTCTGCCGCTCCGGAGCCGGTGCGCCGTCCTCGCACCAGAAGTCCGGGGAGCCAGAGGCGGGGGTACCGTCGCGCGGGGCTGCGGTGCTCCGGCACTCAGAGGGCCGCAGAGAAGAGCGAGAGAACTTTGAACCTGAACAGTTTTGGTCAATGGGATAGCCTCCCACGCTTTGGCTTCCAGCCACTTGATTGTGGATTAGAGTCCTGCGCTGCTTTCCTTCTCCCGAACATCCGAGGTGCAAGCGGGAGCCCCACCCCCCTCGAGCCCGAGTCCGGAGCGGAGGCTGGCCCGGCCTGTCCCCCGGCAGCCTGCGCCTCGCGGCGCCGAGTCTTCGCCCCGGACAGTGGATGGCGCTCAGGGCGCGCGCGGCATGCAGTCGCTCAACATCACCCCGGAGCAGTTCTCCCGGCTGCTACGGGACCACAATCTGACGCGGGAGCAGTTCATCGCGCTGTACGGGCTGCGGCCGCTTGTCTACACCCCCGAGCTGCCTGGGCGCGCCAAGCTGGCCTTCGTGCTCACCGGCGTGCTCATCTTCGCCCTGGCGCTCTTCGGCAATGCGCTAGTGGTCTACGTGGTGACCCGCAGCAAGGCCATGCGCACCGTCACCAACATCTTCATCTGCTCCTTGGCTCTGAGCGACCTGCTCATCACCTTCTTCTGCATCCCGGTCACTATACTCCAGAACATCTCCGACAACTGGCTGGGAGGTGAGTCCACGCCCTCTCCTTCTCCCCTAAGTCCCCAACCTTCCAGGTCCCCTCACTCCCCAACATACACCCTACTCTTTTGATTTTCTTGTATTTTTCTTGGTGCCAAATGAATCCAGTGCCCTTTCTTAGAACTTTCTCAACTGCGCACTTTTGGAGATAAGTTTTTTGCTGCCTTTGATTCTGTTCCAGCTTTTTTCTCCTTATCGCTTAGAGATGGAAGTAAGGGAGATGCTTAGGAGAGGTTCAGGGCAACAAGATGGGAAGTCGCACCACTCTTCAGTTATTTCAGCTCCCCTTTCCATAATTACCAGGATTTCCCCCCTATTTTTTAAAATAACAGTGAGATAAAATATTTCAAATAACTAAAGCTCCAACATTCTCCCATTTTGAAGTTTTATATATATACGTATACACACACACACATATTAAACTTTAAAACAAATATAATGCATTTGCAGAATAAAAATCTTGGACTGTCCTTTTTTTAAAAAATACATTAACAGAGTCACACAGGGAGAAGGAACACAAAATATGTGTCTCGACTGATAAAGGAGGAGAAATTAATTTCTCTTCCTTCCTTAGAAGGGGAGCAGAAATGGCAGAGAACCATTCCGAGTCATTGTTGGGAGCAGTGTGTGGGGAAAAACTGGCAC